GGGGGAGGAGGAAGTGGGAGAAAAGGGGGGCTGTTGAGGAGTGGAGGAGGAAGGATGGAGTTATGTTTTGTTGGTTTGAAGCGGAGGGCGTATAGTGTATCTATCTATTCCACAAATTGGGATTCAGGATATCAAAAACTTTATAAAACGAAACGCCCACCAGAGAGAGGGGTTGATATATAAACATCACATCTTCTTTCCTCTGCTTACACACTTCACAGAATTACGCTTAGTCATCTTATCTGGTACCTTCTTTCCTTCGTTCCTTGCCAATTTACTGAGTAACCTGTTGAGCGGGTGCTGTCGGTATTGGAGCGGTGTAAACTGGAGATTGTTGAGATTGAGGAGGGCCTTGTTGTGATAAAGACCCGGCTTCCATCTCGATGTCCTTTCGCTCTTGGTACTGTGGTGGAATTGTGGCGCTAGTTACACCGGTACCGCCGTTACCTGATGGCGTGGTATTTGCTTTTGATGGCATGGAGTGGCCGCCTGCTGCGCGGTGTTTGTGGAGGAATATGCTTGTGAAGATGAGGGTTGTTGTGAAGAGGATTCTTTGCTTTGTTAGTTTGTTGGATCTTCCGACCATGGTCAAGAGATAGGAGATGTGGGTGGGTGGGTGTAGGGGGATGAATAGGGACGTACACTTCGAGACCAGCTAGTCCTGCGACGGCTTTCATGGCTGCAATCCAGGTGTCGGTTGCGTAGATGGTTCGGGGATGGAGATCTCGCTTATAGCAGAACCCGTAGTAGCAACCACTATACCCGGAGTATGTGCTGAACGAAGACACGAATGAGGCCATTAGCCCCATTGACGTGATCCAGAATACGATGGCGAGGATATCGAGGGCGAGGGATGCCCACTGGTTTTAGTGTTAGATGCAGTAGAGTTGGTTAAGCGACAGATTCGGCAACGGGTAAGTAATTGGGGGGACTTACGTAGTTGTAGGCCGCTTTCACGCTATAGAATGAGACGATGTTATACACGCCGATGATCAGCGTTATAATCGCTGTGAATAAGGAGAGCGAGGCCCCGTCGAAGGATAGTCCTGAGATTCCCCAGGCGGAGAGACCGAGGAGGATGATTCCGATCAGCAGTTGGAGGCCGCGGAGGATGGTCACTAGGAGTGGTAATGGGAGGATGTGGGAAGACATCTTGGAGTGCTAAGTATGGTGGAATGGAAATGTAGAGGAAATTGATAGAGATGTAGGAAGTGAAAGAGAAGGAAGACTGAGAATGGATGGAAGCGTGGAAGTTATACCCTCAGTACAGCGTCTCACGGAAAGTCCCAGCGTGGTACGAACTAGGTACCTATTGCTGTAAGAGTATACAAGCAAAAAAAGCCATGGGAAACTGCCTGAGCATCCACTTGGGAGTCCGAAAGGGTACAGTACTTGGGATGAGAAGCAAGGGTTAGATCGTGGGTAATCTTTTGAAAAAAGAGGCGGATGGCCAATCAGAAGGGCTAGGGAGATTTGATGTATGGCAGGATATTCAGCTCGTATTTTCGCATCCTGTGGAGTGGGTTCATGTCGTACGGATGCGGGAAGATGGGTGGGGTTTTGGTTTGTTGGTCTTTAAATGATTTTGTTGAAGAGCCTCACGACTCGTGAGTGTGAGGTGGAGGTACGCACTGTATGTACACGTGTGTGATTTGATATACTGGTTTGTTAGGGGTGGACTCGTTGTTGATAGCGCTGGGGGACGTTGTGCTTCTAATGGATCCTAGGCCACGGGTCTGCAAAGTGTTATTGTCTTTCGTTTTTGATTCACGCGATGTACTTAATAAGAAACTTCGTTCCCTCAAAATTCGCTTTTTGTTTTCCTCTTGTGTGCCTCGCTTGATACGTAAGGTACTGTGAAGGTAGTACCTACTGGTGCCTAGCTGATGCGGAACAGATAATGCTTTATCAAACAACCAGATTCAATGAAATTATACATGGATCTGCCAAAAACTGATAACAACTATGAGGAAATGAAATCCTTAGAAGTTCTGTCATTGGCGGGTATTGTGTTATCATCACGTGACTGAGATCCTTTAGTTAACACAAAAGTGGCATGCATAGGCTAGCTACAACGCTTTTGTTTGTACTGTATAGCTTCAAGAATAGAATGGTTTATACGAAAGACTAAAAATTAATTAAGAAAATGGGGTTAAGCATTATATATATATATATATAAGTTATAAGTTAACGTGCATGTATAGCAAACCGGCCAAAACCCGGCGACCCCACCACACCTCCACGAAATATTAAATTTCTTTACAACGAAGGATGCCTCTGAAAAATGACGAAAGCCGGTGAGTCTTAGCTATCCAAGCTATGCAAAAAGACCCAATTTTACGTGCTCGAGCTGCTGCCAGGACCTATTCTGTAGACCACCGGAAGCTAGGTCGACGTTTGCTTGGTATACCTTCACGACGCGATATTTTAGCCAATTCACGGAAAATGACCGAGCTAGAGGAATCAGTACTTGTTCAACATATCCTCGACCTAGCTACAAAAGGATTTCCCCCGCGGATATCTGTAGTTGAAGATATAGCAAATCGACTTCTTGAAGCACGCGACGCGCCACGCGTCGGGACGCGTTGGGCTTATAACTTTGTTAAGC